GGGGGGGGGGGGGGGGGGGGGGGGGGGGGGGGGGGGGGGGGGGGGGGGGGGGGGGGGGGGGGGGGGGGGGGGGGGGGGGGGGGGGGGGGGGGGAGGGGGGTGGCCGATCTTGCTGTTGGTGTTAACGCCGCCATGTACTCTTATTGAAGTGTGTTGCGTTGAAACCTATCCAGAAAAACCTCTCTGTGCCCTCTGCATGGGGCAATCGGCCTAGAAATATGAACAAGCGCGACATTTATCCTAGGCGGATGCCTGCTCTAAAAAAGAACTTGGAGAATAAGGACATGGGCTCGGTTTGAGGCAACCAACAAGCGTCGAGCCTCACGCAGTAACAACCTCTTCTTTAAGTGGTGGCCCGTTCTGTAGTACTTCGTACATACTTCTTCCTCTTCTACCTCTTCTTCGAATATACAAATATTTTCCGCGTCCAGCAAGAGTTAAACAAACGGCAGACCTTGCACGGAGATCACTCGTGACCAGACAATAGCAGTATCCCGAGAAAGAATCGAACGTTTCACCTTTGTACGTGCGTGCGCGCGTGTCCTGCCTCCACTTTCGCAAACCTTCGCAACAAAACAGTTCAAACTGGACGACGTGGCCAGACTACTGGAGGCGCAAGACCAAACGTTGAAGGCGGTGATGGAGAAACCGGGCAGGGTCAACATTCCCTCCGGAGCCCCTAGCATTCGAGACTGGTACGTTGAACGGGTCAAGGTCGAGGCCCAGATCTGCCACCACCTCGGCATCGGGACAAGCAACGGAATCCCCTCCTTCCCCGAAGAGCAGCCGCGGATGGTCGGACTGGCGGGGCCCGGCGGAGCGGGGAAGTCGACCGTCGCCTCGATGGTGGTCACCCAGGTGGACGTGCAGGCGTTCTTCCGGGGCAGGGTACTGTGGCTCTCGGTGGGGAAGGGGGCCAAGGACCGGCTGCCGACGCTCATGTTCGAGCTCGCGAAAACGGTGCGGGAGACGGTGCTGCAGAAGATGGCCAGGCGGCCGCGGGAGGCGACCGTCGGCATCAACTCCGAGGACGGGGCGGCCTACATCCGCGAGGAGGCGGGCAAGGGCGACACGCGCTTCCTGGTGGTGGCCGACGACGTCTGGGACGCGGAGGTACTGGCGGAGCTCAGGAGAGCCGGGGCGTGGGTCATCTACACCACCCGCAAGGCCGAACTCTTCCCTGAAACCCCGGCGATTAGGCTGGAGGAGGTCCTGGAGGAGGAGGCGGAGATGGTGCGTTACGGATACGTTTTGTGTTGTTCTAGGCATTCGCCCGATGTGTGCTCCGTGCTAACAGTACCATGGCATGGACTTTGATTTCTTTGGCGCTTGGGACGTACCCACATGCCGAGAGTTTCGTTATTCTACTGCTGCGTAATAACCCCGCCGGGGTAGCGTAGAGTTCTGTGCATATGCGGGGCCCCGAGTTGAGTAGCGAGGGTGCCTAACCTTGTCAAGCATCCCTGCGCTTAGCGATATTGAAAGCGAAAAACCTTATCCACGACCGTGAGACCTGTTCCCACATCCAGAAGCCACCATCAAGACTAACAGCAGTACCAACCTTCAATCGCGTCCATCGATCCATCGAACACGGTACATGCTGATCGAGAGGTTGCTGTTCTGTAGCTGGTAGTGCATCGCCTTCGTACCCTGTGCTTTCTCTCCCTGTGACTGCTCTCTCTCTCGCTCGTGGGCATTCAGGGATCAGAAGGGATGACTTGAGTTCTCATCGACCCCGCTCAACTGATAATCATGATCCAACCATCCCGCCAAACCATCGCCTGTCCATCCGTCACAGATGCTTCGGCGGGCGGCCGACCTCGGCGAGAAAACCCGCCTCCCCCCGGCGGCGTACGAGCTGATGAGGCGGTGCGACTTCTCCGTGCTGGACCTAGCTTTGGTCGGTCGGTGGGGCAAAATCCGTGGCAGAAGCTGCGAGAGGGCGTGGCGAGCGGCGTTGGACAGCATCATAGAGACCCAGCGCGCCGGCGGCGACGGCGGACAGCTGCTCCCGTGGCGCGCGGCGGTCCTCCGAGCTGGGCTCGGCGTGCTCGCGAGCGACAACCCCCAGACGACGGAGCTCTACTACGCCCTGGCCCTGCTGCCGACGGGGCTAGCGTTTCCCCCGGAGGTCGCCTTGATCCTGCTGTACGGGGACGACTTCTCCGAGAGCGCCCTGAAAGCGGCGGAGGCCGTCCTGGGAACCCTCGAACGCCTGTCGATCCTGACGCTGGAGGAGAACAGCGGGTGGTACCACGTCCACGAGAACCACGTGGACTTCGTCCTAGACCGCCCTCTGGCGAAGCACTACACGAGGGACACGGCGCTTCCCCGGTGGCGGCAGTACATCTCGAGCGTGAGGGCCCTCAACACCTACTCGAGCGCCTGGCTCGACAAGGTCTGGGAGAAGCTCGCAAAGGTCGAGGGGGAGGGCTTCGTCCGCAGCCCGTACAACGCGGCGTTGAGCGCGATAATGGACGACTCGGAGGGTGAGCTCCTGGAGGCCCTGCGGAGGGCCGCGGAGTTTCACTTCTGCCGGGGGGACTGGTCGGAGGCCTTCGACAAGTACTCCGAGCTGCTGCTGATCAAGGAGCAGACCGCCGGCCCCGACCACCCCGACGTGGCGAAAATCCTGCACAACCTGGGGATGTGCGCTTGCGAGGTCGGGCGAGAAAAGGAGACCGAAGGGTATCTCCGACGGGCCCTGGCGATCCAGGAGGAAAAGCTAAACCCCAACGACCCACACATCGCGAGCACCCTGCACTCCCTCGGGGTGTACATCCGCACGACCGGGAAAGTCGAGGAGGCCGAGGGCTTCATCCGGCGAGCCCTTGACATCAGGAAGGGGAAGCTCTGCACCGACCCACTGATCTTGGGACGCACGCTGTACTCCCTCGGCGTTTGCGCCTACGACGCGGTGCGGCTGGAGGAGGCCGAGGATCTGCTCCGGCAAGCACTGGCCACGAGGGAAGAGGTGTTGGGCAGCGTGCACCTGGAAGTGGCGGACACCCTGCACGTCCTGGGCGGGTGCGCGTTGAAGGCCGGGCGGATAGAGGACGCCGAAAAGCTGTACCTGCGAGCGCTCGTCATCAGGGAGGAGAAGCTTCGAACGGACCACCCGGACGTCTTGCGGACCCTCCGGAACCTCGGGATATGCTCCGTGCACAAGGCGAGGCTGTCGGAAGAGTCTGCCGGGGTGGTTCGTCGAACGCTTGCGATTGTGTAGGAGACACGAAGCATATCGCTGATCAACCATCCAAGCGTAGCCTAGCACGGGAATGCCTCAAAGTTGTTCCGTAGTGTACGTGCCGGCCCGCTTGAAGTAAATACCCAACCAAGTGTAGCCAGGCACGGACATGCCCCAAGTGCAGTGCCAGCCCGCTAAAAAGAAATAAATACCTTTTGCCTTTGAGCAAGGCTGTAACACCTTGCAGTGTCTCACTCAATGATTGAGCACAAGCGGATAATGCTAGGCACGCCCCATGAAGATTTACGGTAGTAGTGCTGGCGACTAAGCCCTTACGCCAATTAGTTATGCTTCTTTTTCGTATGTTTGCTTCTTTCTTACGGGAGAAATAAAAACAAGCTCATCTCTATCAATTAATAGAGAAGAGTCCAGGGTTAATGATTGTGGGATGTATTCGTGTCGTGTTGTTACGGGTGTGTATGTATGTATGTATGTATGTATGTATGTATGTATGTATGTATGTATGTATGTATGTATGTATGTATGTATGTATGTTGTTCCAGTTGTCGTTGTTTTCCAAATACATGAGCATGGATTTCTTGTGATAGGAGAGACCCGACCCTGCTGCTCGCCGATTCGCACGTCCATCGACCGGAACCTAGTGATCACAGTATTGTCAGCAGCGTTTCGACAGAAATTAGTCTGTTGAACGCGACCCTATCATCGATATGACGAGCGATGGGGCTCCGCTGTGAAGTTGTTTCTGACGGAAGGTATTCTCGATACGAACGAAGCTGAGCTGCTCTGCGGGTCAACTATCCTCCCCCTAGATGGGCAATACAAGGTTTATTTTGAGTTACACGTTTTTTGCTGGATATGAACGTAGTAGGCAATAGGTCTCTGTGTGCTCAGTAGTGTCAATAACCAATGTTGTCTGGTTGTCTTCACATTATTAATCCCTCCGGTCTCTTCTCGGTATGTACATATGTAGGTTAAGCATTTTTGGGAGGAGGGTGCAGCAACAACATCGTCTAGGGGATTGTTGCAGCAGAACTTTGTAGATGGTGACAAGTTGTCAAGGTTTCTGAGAACGAATTTCTGAGCACGGCAGTAAGTTTTGGAAGGTGTGCATGTACATATGTAGGGATGATGTGCGTTTCGGATTGAGGTCGTAGCGGGATCTATCAGATGACTCGTGATGCTACGTAGAATCCCGCTAGCACCTTTGAAGGAGAGCCCCGAGCAGCGGGAACGAGGAGAGGGAGGGAGAGATTGTCTACGTATGTATGTTGTTGTTGTGGCCGGAGTTGATCTATTTAGTTTAGTGAGTAAAGATGTGCCTGTTTCAATGTCTTTTCCGTCTGTGGCATTAAATTAGACGAATATAGTCCTTCTACAAACGCTACAAACGTAATCTTGCGACGACTTGCGCGTAAGCTGTGAAGAAAAATATGACGTGGATAACGGCGTTGGACGAGAGAAAGCACAGACGGACGTGTATTTTTGTCGTGGGGTATAGAGGTACAAGTAAGTGTGATAGAATGTTGGGTGATGACGACGGGAAAATTCCGAAGTAGAACCTGGAGGGAACACCTTGCCACTATTATATCAGAATCGGTTATAAAATGGCCATGATTTTTTTTTTGTGCTTCCTGATAATCAAGGGAGGAGCGTTGACGGCTAAAATATTATCGCTACAAGCTATATCGTCGAAGGCGGTGCATGCTCAAGGGGCCAACGTCCAAGGGCTGACAGCACTGTAGTCTATGCCGTTTATATATCCACATGATGATGACTCAAAAACATGTCGAGAAAGGCAGTTGTTCGATTGCTCACGGCACAACTCCCTTAAATGGTGCTCCATACACTCGTCCCACATATCACTCCCTCTGCTGCTTGTGAACGACGGTGCCTGTCTCCTTCTGTCCCGGGGGGGGGGGGGGGGGG